TTGATTCAGGCACAAGAGCTCACTAGTGTGCTCCTGTTCTTTTCTGCTTGCGATTGAAGTCAAAACGTTCAACAGAAAGGCATATAATATTTAAATCTTCAAATGTTAACAGTGTGAGCTCCGTGTTCAGCAGCAGCACCACTAATTGTAGGTGAATGTTCATTTTACTCTGCCACAGCAACTTGTATTCCTTTCATTCTGCCAAAGCCCTGCCATTTCTCACCATGTAAACTCAGTGGCTAGGAATATTTGGGTAAGTAACTCTTCTGATACCGCTAAGCCTGTCCACCATCTCCAAGGCACAAGTCAAGAGCGTGATTTATTTAATAGAATCCCAACAGTGTGGAAACAGGCCCTTCGGCCCAACAAGTCCACACCGACCCTTGCAGCATCCCCCTATAACCCACTCACCCCTGAACACTACGGGCAATTTAGCATGGCCAATCCACCTAGCCTGCACATCTTTGGACTGTGGGAAGAAACCGGAGCACCCGGAGGAAACCCACACAGACACGGGGAGAATGTGCAAACTCCGCACAGATAGTCGCCCAAGGCTGGAATCGAGCCTGGGTCCCTGGCGCTGTGAGGCTGCAGTGCTAACCACTGAGCCACCGTGCCGCCTAATACTCCCCACTTGCCTGGATGGTTGCAGCTCCAACAATGCTCAAGAAGCTTCCGGGACAAATCAGCCCATTTGATTGGCATCTAATGAGAATACCACATACTGTATCTGTGCAAATTGTCCACTCCCTCACTTTCCATCATTGCACATTTTCAGAGATGATGATGTGCTATACATTTGTCAGTTTAAGCTATAAAGTCCTTGAAAAGCAACTGTCATTCAGTTTTGCTAGTTATGAATTGCAAAGTTTCTTTTTATTCTGTTGATCATATAGCTGGTACCATTATTAGTAGACTTTAAGACACAATTACACATTTCCTCTGACATAGTAGGTAAGAAGCAGACATGCAACCATAGTTGATATTTAGTGATAGATCTTACATAAAAAAAGGAAAGGAGACCAACTAATGGTTAACTATATAACTTTGAGTTTAACATCTGTCATTGGGAACTGTTAGTCTATTGTAAGAATTTATTAGGAGAGCATTTAAAAGTACATAATGGCTGCATTTTTTATTGTTCAGATGGTAATTATTCCAGTCTAGATGGAAGTTTTGCATTGGGACCCTGCGGAATCCCCACTGTAGCAGACTCTGAACGAATTGCCTGGGATGTTGAAGCATCCACTGGATGCAGTTGCTGTATGCCTGGGAGCCTCTGAAAGTCTGTGTTTAAATCAGGGAGTTTGCAAGGATCCCACAAAGCAAACAGAAATATGCAGGAAATGTTAGAGTCATAGTCTAATTCCTAAGTAACTATTAAACATGTCCCATACCTATCTCATCCAACTGCTTTCTGACCTAATCTGTCACCTTCACCCCACCCTCTCCCAAGCCTCTTCTCCCATTCACCACCTAACCCTGCTGTTGGTCCTGAACCCACCATTCAACACCATTTCTGCCATACCCAACCTGACTCCTCACCCTGCGCTCGACCCAAACCGATCCCTCTCCCTTTCGGACACGACACATCCACTGCAGGATTAGCCCAGAACTCCCCAGATCTGACACCTGTCCAGGCTGCACCTGATCCCTCCTACCCATCCAACCAACTCAGCCCTGACCACATGACTTATCCAGCTGCCTTGCCACCTGCTGCCTTGCTTCTGTGGGATCATGCTCAGTAATGACCAAGATCAGTGTGTGGTGAAAATAGCCTCTTTATTGAGCACCTGCAGTGGCATAGTTCAAAGTGGCAGTGGAATCCAAAGTACAGTTTTACAGTAGCCTCTTTTATACGCAGTTTTTACATACATTAAAATTTTAGCACTATGGTGTCACATAGTTGTATCTATTGTACACAAGTTTGCATGATATCTGTCCTGGGGATGCAGGAGTTAGTTTAAGCACTTGTTAAATGCTGGCTGTTACTCTTGATGGGATTCAAATATCTGTCTAGTCAGGGCTTGCATAATTAAGAGGGGTTAATCCTTTTGTCTTTAAAGTTAGTAAAAAGTACTAGACCTATTTGATCTAAGTAAGTGAGAAATTATACATGTACTATATAAAAGTACGGAGGATATTAAACTGATCTCCCGCAGCTGGGTCATGAGATTTCATCTACTATTGCCGGTTTGGACAGTTCTTACGCATTCGTTCATGCGGTTTCACAGAAGCGCTGTTTTGGTAGTATATTTCTTAAAGGGGGTATAGCGGCCCTATTTAATGTATATTTAAAAAGTTTAAATCCGTACGTTCGTGCAAGATGGTAGTCCTAAATAAAAGTTAGAAATAGGTAGTACAGTGTTATAGAAATAGTAGTGTATAAGGAAATTTCAAAGAGATAAAGAGATGCAGACTGTAGGGACATGCTAGTGGAGGAAACTGCTTAATATCCTGCAGACTATTCAGGTCCTGAGAGACAGTTACTACGGGCAATTTACTATTATAATCTTTCCATAGTTTTGAGTGAGTTATGGAGACACAATGGCAGGGATGGCATGGTTCTGAGTAGGTATTAACACTTATTCAGGGGTAGCCTTTGATACAGAAACAGGTCTAAATGCTTGCAGCATGGGGCCAATAAGAATTGAAAAGTGTAAAGAAATGGTTTGGAAAGTATGTTTAAGTCAGTTTACCTTGTCAGAGTGAAATATACTACAAAAACGTGGTTTTATGAATGAGTGAATGGAAACGCAGCATAGTAAACAGCGCTTGTGAGTGAGTTCGTAAAGAGAATCATAATACAACATCTCATGCTTCCTGGCAACCTGTCTCCACTGCACCCCCCCCT